GACCCTGCAGTCCAAATAGTCCATGCCAAATATACTACTAAACTAAACTAGGCACACCTGCCTGTGCTTCACCCATATCCCTCCAAACATTTCTTATTCATGTGCTAATCTAATTGTCTTTTAAATGTTGTAACTGTACCTGCAACCACCACTTAGAGTCATAGACACGTACAGCACAGAAAAAGACTCTTCGGGCCAACTCATCCATGCCAGCCAGGTATCCTAAATTAATCTATTCCCATTTGCCAGCACTTGATCCATATCCCTCTAAACTACTACGATTCATAGACCTATCCAGATGCCTTTAAAATGTTGTAATCGTACCTGCTTCCACCACCTCCTCTGGCAGTTTGTTCCATACACATACCACTCTCTGCATGAAAAATTTGCCCCACAGGTCCCTTTTAAATCTTCCTTTCTCATCTTAACCTGTGCCCTCTAGTTTTGGATTCCCCTACCCTGGGGAAAAGACCTTGGCTATTCACCTACCCATGTCCCTAATGATTTTATAAACCTCTTTGAGGTCACTCCTCAGCCTCCAATGCTCCAGGGAAAATAGCTCCAGACTAATCAGCCTCTCCCTATAGCTCAAACCTTCCAATCCTGACAACATCCTTCACTACCCCGTCAACCTGTGAGTCCACTTTCAGGGAACTATAAACATGCACACCAGGGTCTCTTTCTTCACGAACACTCCCCAGGACCTTACTATTAAGTGTATAAGTCCTGCCCTGATTTGTCCTACCAAAATGCAGCAGCTCACATTTATCTAAATTAAACTCCATTTGCCACTAATCAGCCCATCTGATCATGGTCCCATTATACTTTGAGGTTACCTTCTTCGCTGTCCACTACACCACCAATTTTGATGTCACCTGCAAAATTACTAACCAAATCATTTACAAATTCCTCTGGGAGTTAATTCCACACAAGAAACACTCTGTGTAAAAAAAATTGCCACTCCTGTCTTTTAAAATCTTTCTCCTCTAACCTTAAAAATATGCTCCCTAGTTTTGAAATTCCCCACTATAGGGAAAAGACACCTGCCATTCACCTTATCTATATCCCTCATTATTTTATAAAGCTCGATAAAGTCACCTTTCAACTTCGTGAAGAAAGTCCCAGACTATCCAGCCTCTCCTTATAACTCAAACCCACCATTCCTGGCAACATCCTGATAAATCTCTTCTGAACTCTATCCAGCTAAATTAAATCCTTCCTATAACAGGAAGACCAGAACTGTACACAGTACTTCAGAAGAGACCACCCTATCTATATGTGATGCAAACTTCAAAGAATTATGTACTTGAACCTCTTTGTTTCATTGTTCAACAACACTACACAAGGCCTTACTTATAATTGTATAAATCTTGCCTTTGTTTGTTTTACCAAAATGCAGAACCTCACAATTATCCAAATTAAATTCCACCTGCCACTCTTCAGTCTGTTGACCCAACTGGTCAAGATCTCTTTGTTATCTTAGATGACCTTCTTCACTGTCCACTGTACCACCAATCTTGGTGTCATCCACAAACTTACTAACCATGCTTTCTATATTCTCATCTAAATCATTTTTATAAATGACAAACAAAAAGTGGACCCAGTATCGATCCCTGTGGAACACCTCTGGTCACAGGCTTTCAGTCTGAAAAACAACCCTCCACCATCACTCTCTGCCTCCTGCTGTTAAGCCAATTTTGTACCCAATTGGCAAGCTCACCCTGAATCCCATGCAATCTAACTACCATGCAGAACTTGTCAAAGGTTTTACTAAATCCTCTGGCTACCCACTCATCTTCACCACATTGTATGCTTTTTTCTTTTGTTTTAATGCTATCCGTGAGTTCTCTTGTCAACCATGGTTGCCTCATCCTCCCCTTAGCATATTTCTTCTTCCTTGGGATGAATTTCTGCTGTTCCTGCAAATTACCCCTAGAAACTCTTACCATTGCTGTTCTATCATCTTCCCTGCTAGGCTCCTTTTCCAATCAACTTTGGCTTGGTCCTCCCTCATGTCTATGTAATTTCCTTTATTTAATTAACGTACCATCACATTTGATTCCAGCTTCTCCCTCTCAAACCGCAGAGTGAATTCTATCATATTGTGGTCACGACCCCCTCGGGATTTCTTCACCTTAAGGTCCCCAATCAAGTCTGTCTTATTAAATATCACCAAATCCAGAACTGTCTGTTCCTTAGTGGGTTCTTACCGCAAACTGCTCCAAAAACTCTCATTGACATTCTACAAATTCCTTTTCATGGGATTTGCTACCAACCTGATTTTCCCAGTCCAATTGCATATTGGAGTCCCCCATAATTATTATAATCGTGCCTTTCTTACATGCTTTTTCTATCTCATGATTTATTTTCTGCTTCACATCCTGACTACTGCTAGGAGGCCCTTACATAACTCCCACCAGGGCATTTTTTCCTTTGTGGTGCCTCAACTCTACCCACACAGATTCTACACCTTCTATGTCACTTCTTGCCATCAATTCAATTTAATTTCTTATGAACAGGTCAACCTCAGCCCCTCCACCCATATACCTGTCCTTTCAATGGGATGTGTATCCTTGCATATTTAGTTCCCAGCCCTGATCCCCTTGCAGCCATGCAAAAGTATGCCCACAACATTGTACCCGCCAATGTCAATTTGCACGACAAGCTCATTTACTTTGTTTCATATACTGCACATAATTAAACACAACACCCTCAGTCCTGCTTTCATTAGCTCCCTTCTCATTGTTGTCCTCTTATCCGCTGTGCCTGAAGTTAGATTCTTGACCCCTAACCCCCCCCCCCCCCCCCTCCTATTTGGTTTAAAGCCCTGTCCACAGCCCTGGTTACATGATTTGTCAGCATGATTGAGGTGGAGCCCGTCCCTTCAAGCACTCCCTCCTTCCCCAGAAGTGTTGACGATGTCCCATGAATTTAAACCCATTTCTTCCCTAACTATCTTTGAACTAAGCATTTACCTCTTTTATCTTGTTGACCCTGTGTCAGTTAGATTGTGGCTCAGGTAATAATTCAGAGATTGTTACCTTATTGGTTCTGTATTTTAATTTAGGCCCTAACTGCTCACATTGCCTCAGCAGAACCTCTTTCCTCTTTCTACCTATATCGTTGGACCATAACAACTGGATCTTTCACCTTTCATTCCAAATTCCTCTGCAGCCCCGATGAGATATCCTGAACCCGGGCACTAGGAAGGCAAAACAGAACTCTCAATCCTGGCCACAGAGATCAGTGGATATTCCCCTGACTATATTATCCTCAATTACAACTACATTTCTTTTTTCTCCCCTCTCTTGATGGCTCCCTGAGCCATGGTGTTATGGTCATTTTGTTCATTCTCTCTACAATCCCTGCTCTTGTCTACACAGGGAGCAAAAATCTCAATCCTGTTAGACAAGCCCAAGGGCTGAGGCTCCTTCAGCACTACCTCTTGGATCCCTCCACCTGCCTGGAGGTTGTACTGAAGCAGCTTCAATACTCAAATCTCAATATCAACATCGTTCATGTTAAGGTATTTTGATAAAGGCCAGAAGAGCATAAGTTATAGAGTCAGAATTAGACCATTTGGCCCATTGAATCTGCTCTGCTGTTTGATCATGGCTGATATGCTTCTCCACCTCATTCTCCAGCCTTATCCCTGTAGCCTTTGCTCCCCTTACCAATTACAACCTTCTGCAGCAATGAGTTCTACAGATTTACCACTCTCTGGCTGAAGAGATTCTTCCTCACCTCAGTTCTAAAGTGTTGTCCCTTTACTCTGAGGCTGTACCCTCAGTCCCCTGTCTCTCTTATTAGGGGAAACATCTTCTCCATGTTCACTCTATTCCCCCCTCATCCTTCTGAACTACATTGAATACAGACCCAGAGTCGTCAACTGTTCCTCATATGTCAAAGCCCTTTATCCTCAGGATCATTCTTGTACCTTCATCAAGGACAGCACATCGTTCCTTAGATACAGGACCCAAAACTGCCAAAGTATTCCAAATTCATTCTGACAAGAGCGTTATACAGCCGCAGCAGTACAACACTTCTCTTGTATACTTGCCCTCTTGAAATGAATGCTAACATTGCATTTGCCTTCCTAACTGCCAACTGAACCTGCATGTTAGCCTTAACAGAATCATGAACTAGGACTCCCAAGTCCCTTTGTGCTTCAGATTTCCGATGCCTTTCCGCATTTAGAAAACAATCTACACTTCTATTTTTCCTACCACAGTGCATAACCTCTCACTTTCCCACAACGTGGTGCACCTGCCACTTCTTTGTCCACTTTCCTGGTTTGTCCAAGTCCTTCTGTATCCTGAGACAATATAGTGTGGAGCTGGATGAACACAGCAGGTCAGGCAGCATCAGAGCAGCAGGAAAGTTGACGTTTCGGGTCGGGACTCTTCTTTCCTCCAGCTGTGTTGTCTCCACCTTCTCCTTAGTAATGAGCACTACGCTCACCTCTGCCCCGACTCTCTTGACATTCTCATATAAAGATGTTGCAGTACTTGCAGACCATCGTGTACGCCCGTCTTTCTCCACGAACCACCTTGTCTAAACCTACTCCCTTTTGATATTCTTAATGACGTATCAACGTAACAACAGGAGAGAATGGGTTCCATACAAATTGCCATCTGTTAGACCTTGAAAACCAAAGGACGCAGTGGAAATTGTTAAGGATTACAATCACCAATGGTCAACTTGGAGTTGGGAAGAAAAAGCCAGTTATTTGTAAAGTTTCAGTTTCAAAACGATTCAAAAATTATTTAAACCCAGATCAATGAGGTGCCGACAGCCCTGCCACTATACATCTTCACCACGCTTGATGGAACAGTGTTTTAGAATGACTCGACACAACAGCAGCGCGCTATCCTTTCCGGGTACGGTGATTGACAGTTAGGGGCGGGCTTACGCGCTTTCTTTGGCGGCGCAGGCGCGGAGGTGGGCGGGACTGCGAGGTCACGGCTCCGGGAGAAGGTTCTGGATTGGGTAGCCTCGTTGTGAGCTCGGAGTGACGCGGCGGAGCGGCTGCCAGGGGCTTTTTTTTTGGTACTTCGGCAACTGGAGCGAGAAGGGACCATTGAGTGACAGGGGAGACAGCACAAAAACGGGTTAAAATATTGTCCATCAGAGAGTCAGAAAAGTGAATCCCTGTGAGCAAGGGGAGACAGATCGGCAATGGCTTCGGGAGGAGAGTAAGTATATCCTAGGATGTATCAATGAAGCGGATGGTAGTTCCCGGTCTCGTTGAAGGCCGGTAGGCCTCAGGCTTTTCCTCGTCCACTGCAGGAAGGGGGAAGGGAGAGGCTGGTTTGTTCCTCGCCCGATTTCACTGTGTCATCCTGGCCTAGCTGGGAGAGGCTGCATCTCATTGAAGAGGCCAGATCTCAGAGCGGAGTTTCTGTCTTCGGTTTATTTTCACCAAAGCCCCTCTCTGGAAATGGAGTTAAAAATCGCTTCGCAATTATTTGCTGCAGTTTGTTTCAGCCGAGTTATGAGGATGACGAGGGCGATTTTTTTTTGTTTTTGGGGGGGCCTTTTTTGTGGAGTTTGGCACATTTGTTGCTGACATCTTGTAAAAATCGAGACCTAGCGAAATGGGATTTAATCAATTTTCGTTCATTTTCCAACCTCTAACCTGGTTCACATCAAGGCGGGCGTGCAATAATTTGTGATTAACTGAAGTTTACGTTTTTTTACTCGCAGACATATTTGATTTTTTTTCCCATTCCCTTCACCTGCAGATGAAGTGCACTGTGCAGCTGTAAAAATTAATACGGTATGGCTAGGTAGAGATCAATGTAACTGAATGTCTAACGTCTACAACATTATAACAATTGACTTCCTGAGACTTTCCTTTTTGAGTTGGGATTTTATGTTTGCAATTATAAATTCACTTAAGTTGCTTCAGTGCCATGCTTACTAAGTGACCGTTAGGCATTTGTATTTTGCCTCTGAAATAATCCTAAGATTTGATTTATTATTGTCACATGTTCTGAGATATAGTGAAAAGTATTATTTTGTGTGCTATCCAGCTAGGTCATACTTTACATAAGAGTACATTGTGGACATTTTGAATTAAATATGCAAATGGTTATGATCTGAATTGCATTACTTGAAAGGTTGGTGGAGCAGTTTTAATTTTGGCTTTTAGAAGGGAATTTGATACCATTGTCGGAATTACAGGCAACTGGAACTACAAGCATAGCATACATAAGAGTATAATGTGAATTTTGTATCAGAAGGCTTCCTGTACTGCAACCACTGTGCTTATGTGATTTTCAATTATGTATAAATTCCATGCTGTCAGAAATAATTCTTCAATGTGTCAGTGAAAAACTTTTAATTTTTGACTATGAAAAAATAATGTGCTGTTCTGTGTGTTAAAATATCTTTTAAGACTGGGTATATATAAAATAGCATCAAACTGATGATTATATGAAAAGCTTGATTAGAAATAAAATTACATATGCAACTGGATATTACATGGTCCCTGAAGTTTTATTTTATCTTCAGAATCCTAGTTTAGATCATGCAAAGGGATGGAGAGTTCCAAGTGTCTAATATTCTCCATGGTTAGTGAGTGCTGCCAATGTTACCAGCCCTGGTAATCTTGGATATGATTACTCTTTACTTGAGACTTAACAATGAGCAGTTACACTCAATTGTGTGGAAGTGCCATGTTCTCTGATTTATGGCATGGGATGATATACGTTTGAGCTATGTTATTTACATTAGCTACGAATGAAGCTTGTCTCTGAGTCTGCCAAGCAACGTAATAAATATCACTCTGCATTCATCTGTTATACTACACTCCATAATTACCAGGAGAAATTATTTCAAATCATCTCAACATTGAATGGTTGCATAAAAACAGGAGGTCTTCCTTTGTCTGAAGTTCTGTGATTTTGTTTTCTTTGTCTGATGGTCTTTAATCTTACAACAAAAATTTGCTTGTTGACTGCAGCCTTAAGTAGTGTTAAATTTTGTACTTCCAGTATTCTCATTGAATTAGACATACCTTGACATATTCCTGTTCTTTACCAAAATCAATTGTCATATGGCTAATACCTTACAACGTTTGGCAGTGCAAAAGTGGAAATAGTTTTCATATTCCTTTTTTATGCTAGGAGTTGATATTGAACAATTATATCAAAGGCTTTCTGATGTGAAGAGTCTATTTACATTATGGTGGTTCAGTTGTTCCATTCTCCCCAGAGTGAATGTTTGATTGTTTGAAACATCATCCTAACCCAGTGAAATTTTTTAACCCTCCCTAAGCTTCTCTGCCTCTCTATCTCTCTGTTTTTAAAACCACCATTTACAAGTTTAACCACGTTTTTGGCTTGTTGTCAAGTTTTGTTTCATCATTCTCCTCTAGGTACCTGTCATATTTTATTCTATTGATATTACTATATAAATGCAAGTTGTTGTAACTTGGTTCTGCCTGCTCACATTGCGAAAAGTTCTTGGTTACTTCATGAAATGTGAGAAGCAGGTTGGGATTGTAACTTGAAATAACTGCCCAGTCATTCTTCAAAAATTGGAACAATCTTATGCATGTCAGGTGAGAACGGTAATGAATTTGATTGTGACATCTCCCTCAATCGATACTTCATCATACTGTGGGGATTTATGCCTGAATGATGGGCATTTGGTTGAGGTGTTGAAGGGGTGCTGGCAATTGTGATTTTATTTTTAAATCATAGGACATGGACATCACTGGCGAGGCCAGCATTTATTGTCCATCTTTAATTCCTTTTATGGTGGTGAGTACCACCTTGAGCTGCTGCAGTCCATAAGAGAGAGTTTTGATCCCCGAGTCTCAGGAAAGACTTTCTTGCTATTGAGGGAGTCCAGCAAAGGTTCACCAGACTGATTCCTGGGATGGCAGGACTGACATATGAAGAAAAACTGGATTGAATGGTCTTAGGGGATCTTGTAGAAACATATAAAATTCTGATGGGACTGGACAGATTAGATGCAGGAAGAATATTCCCGATGTTAGGGGAAGTTCAGAACTCGGGGTCACAGTCTTAAGAATAAGGGGTAAGCCATTCAGGACTGAGATGAGGAAGAATTTCTCCACTCAGTGTTATGAACCTGTGGAAGTCTGTACCACAGAAAGCTCTTGGGCCATTCATTAAATATATTCAAGAGGGAACTGGACGTGACCCTTTCAGCTAAAGGGATCAAGGGGGTATTAAAAGAAAAATGGGAGTGGGATATTGAAATTGCAAGGTCAGCCATGATCATATTGAATAGTGGTGCTAGGTCAAAAAGCCGAATGGCCTACTCGTGCACCTATTTTCTATGTTTCTATAGGTACATCTGTGGTGTTAGGAAGGGAGTTCCAGGATTTTAACCCAGTGAAAGTGAAGGAACTCTTGAATATTTCCAAGTCAGGATGGTATGTGGCTTGGAAGGGAACTTGTAGGTTGCAGCGTTCCTGTTCAGCTGCCGTCCTTGTCCTTTGAGGTGGTAGGAATCCCAGGTTGGAAAGAGTTGCTGAATATACGTGAATGCACAATTCAAGGCTCTCTGAAGGAAAGCCCTACAAACAGTGGTGTACAGCCTTGTTCGTTTTAACGTTATGTTCACAGGTTTAAATTTTCAAACCTATTTGGCTGGAATGGACCATGCCTAATTTTTAACCAGCATTATCATGAAGTATGATCTCTGGTAGTCCAATTGACTGTAATTATTTCACATTTTAAAAATCTGTCTCCAGTATTTTTGACTTGTTCATTTGTTAATTTTGAATCTACAGAAACTGTGCTTTCAATTTCAGTACTTCCAAGTACCTGGGCAAATTCCCAACTTCCAGTTTGTGAATTTGACCACTTTCAAAACTCTACTACCTGTCTTGTAACTCAAACTATTCACCTGTCATCTCTGTGCTCACTGACATATGTTATCTTCCAATTGGTCAAAGGTTCAACTTTTAATATTCCCCTCCCTGTTGTCAAATGCCTCCATGGCCTTTCCCTCCCTTGTTTTTTAACCTTCTATCACCTCTGCAATTTTCAGACACATTCACTTCTCTCTTTCTAGCAGTGTGCATTCCCAATATTGCTGCACATGACAATTGCTTTGACTGAGCTCTGGAGTTCCCGCCATAAACATTTCCCTTATCTGCCCCTTTTTCCTCTTCAAAACTTAGCTTTTTGTTCAGATTTATGGTCATCTGATAAAATATTGCTCTTCATGGACTGGCGTCAAATTTTGTTTGAGAACATACCTGTGCAGCACAGTGGGACATTTTAGTATATTGAAAGTGCTCTATAAATGTGTATACTTGATCACCACTGATAGGTACAATAGATATAACTATACAAGTGAAATTGAATCAAGAATATTTCATTACCGTTGAGGCAAAAACAGCACAGTTGAATTACAAGAATTAACTCACTTAATCTGCTGTTAAGTATTGGAGAATACACTAAAGTAGGAGTGCGCCATGGAATCACCACACTCCTTTTTTTTTGGAATTTCTCTGCGCTGGTTTGGCTTTTATTTTTATTGGCCTGTCAGCCTCTTAAGCAATGTTATCTCATTGCTTGAGACATATGCAAATTAAATGGAAACCTGGATTTAAATTTTATATACTCAACCTTGCCATGGGACAAGCCTACGGGACCTGACAAGATTTGAACATCTGTGATTGGGCAGACCAAGAGGAAACATGATAATGAACTCTGAGAGCCAATAATCATTGACAAACTGACTTGGAAATAAGTTGTTAAGTTCGTTGTTCGTCTTTTATTTCAATTCCTGATTTCTCTAAGAAAATCTGGCTTTTAGTCTTAGAAAAACTTGAGTGCTTCTCAAACCTGGTGTATTCAATCTCTGTTATTTTTCTAGCTTTATTTAGGTACGCACTTTGTTTACTGCTGTTATCAAAAGAAATTTGATGTGAAATTGAAAAGGCTGCTGCTGCCACACTAAAAAATATGCTTTAAAAGGGCTTAATGTTCTATTTTAAGTTTTAGTTAGAGACATTTTAAAAATAATGAGCAAATACATGTTTGTTTTAAAATAAAGCCAATGGGCAATTTGCTGTGCTTCAAGAAAATGTAATAACTGAGCTTAGCTCCCGACTCAAATCAAAGTGAATTGGCAACCAAAATAATTTGTAGGTTAAAATATGTGACATGCTACATGTCTTTATTTGCTGTATCACATGTAATTGTTTGAGAATGTGTTTCTTCACATTAACTCATTTTCTACTGCATGCCGTAGTATACTGTGGGTTTTTCAGTATCAATGTCAAAGTAATTCTATACCAGAATCCTAGCGAATTGAATAACTAGGGCTGCAGAGAGGGCTTTAAACTAATTAGAGGGTGAAGAGGATTTAGGAGTGGGGAAATACAGGCCTACAGGTCAGAAAATATGGCAATATTACAGGGGCAGCTATTTGGGTAATGATACCCAGAATAGATTAGATTAGGAATGAATAGTGTATACAAACACAGAAAAAAACAGTTGTGAATGGGGTCAAAGGGGGACAATCTGGTTAAAAACGCAAAATTAATGGCTCTTGAATGCTTTTGGTATAAAATAACTGAATTAATGGCACATATACAGGTTAATAGTATGATCTTGTAGCTGTCTTGGAGACATGGTTACAGAGAGATCAAAGTTGGGCACTAAATATTCAGAGATATGTGACTTTTTGAAAGGATGGTGGGTTGCATTGTTGGTAGAAGAATAAGTACTATAGCAAGAAATAATTTTGAATTGGAAAGTGTACAAGTGGAGGTAAGAAATGAGAGCATGGAGAAAAGACTATGTTCATGGAATGACTTTAATATTCATGATGGTTGTGATTTTGCTGTTATGCCTCTTCTCCCCTCATGAACCCCCTGGCCCCTGCTCGCGCTGTCTCTTTGTGTCTGTGTCTTTATATGACTTGTTCCAAAGTCTGTTTTGAACTCGTTCAGTATGATTATCTGACCATTTTAAGAGTTAAAAAAGTCAGACCTTTATAGAACTGAGAATTCAAATCCATTTTTCTTGTCCTTTTAAGCTCCAATTTTTACTTGACACTGTTATGAACTTTCATCACAGTTGCTAACAACTAGTGGTTTTTCTTTGAGAGGAATATATAAACTGCTGCTGTCATCCAGAAAACGGGAGCATGCTTGATTTATAGCTCATGTTTTAAAATAAATACTGTCCCCTTGTGTACGTAGTCTCTATTGGTGTAGCAAAACGTGAAAGCCATTTTTTGTTATGGTTTGGAAATCAGTATAATGTAGAATATGCTGTAACAACTTTATTTCTTAAATTTTAACTTATTTTAAGTTGTTACAGCATATTCTACATTATACTGATACACTATACTAGTTTCAAAACTCTTGGTGGTGGACTATAGGTCTTAAAATGTAATACTATTTAATCTGTGGAAGCAACTGAAATTTGGTCGTAAAATTCTCATACAGTAGAATCTAACATCATCTAAAGTGCTATGGTTGTTTATCATTAATCTTGTTACTACTATACATCTACTAACAAAAAAACGAGGTTCAAATTGACACAGTTGAATGAGTTTCTCCAGAATATCCTAAACGTTGATGTGTCATCAGATGGTGGGGCTTTTAATGTTACTGATCACGTGTGACCATGTAATGCAAAGCTTTTTTGTTTTGTAGGTCCAAATGTGATGACTTGTCAACTGCTATTCTGAAGCAGAAGCATAGACCCAATCGACTAATTGTTGATGAAGCAATTAATGAAGACAACAGTGTGGTTTCACTGTCTCAGGTAAGCTAATAGTAGTGCAGTTTGTTTAATAATTTAAAGACTCTGGTTTCAACTTATCCTTTTCATTATTTCTTTTTCTCTGGTGGCCCTCAAAGATGTGCAAATACTGTTTCATGCAGAGTTGCCTCGAGGTTGTGCAGAAGCCCAGAAGTATCTGTGCGGAACTTGCAAAAATTCTGAAGAAGTGTTCAAGGGTGTCAGTAGCTTGTCAGTACTTCTAAGCTACTATTCTTCATGCGTGACCTTTATGTACAGCTTTAGGTGAGAGGTGAGGTGGCTGACTAAAGTCTTGCCCTCACCAGATATCAACATGCACGTATTTTCTGACCTTTGCTTCTACTTCTTCCCTCCTACTCCCTGAAATCTATGGGATGCCACAATTTGATAATATCAAGTTGGAATTTAGCTCATGTGACAGCAAATATGCGAAATTTGCTCAATATAATTATTGGCATTGCCACAGTGTGCTAATATGGATGCAAGCCTTTTAAGGATGAAATAAAAATTCTTTGATTGGAGGTGGGTAAACTCTTACAATGTTGTTTTGTGTTACAGAGAGGAGTTTGAACCCCTCTGATAATTAAACCGAAACACAAGCCCCCAGTCTGTTACGGTAGGAATAGAGGTTCCCTCCTAATAAGTAACCCGAAACACCCCAAGAAGCACACCTTGCCTTTGTAATCTGTTAAAAAGAGTGGTTAAATGAAAGAAAATCCCTGAGATTGACTTTATATAAGTAATAAGTAACAATTTATTTATTTAACCCTAACAGTGAACAAATTGACAGAATTGCTAACAAACCAAACAATTCCCCCTTAACTACTAACTATTCCCTAACTGAACTAAATTCTACTAGTATGCTGTTCCAATAAACATTAGTCCCACTTAAATAAACTCAAGTAATAAGAAAATAAATTAAAACTTAATCTCTGAAAGTCTACACACCTTTCTTCTGCTGATCCAGCTGTCAGGGATGTCTTCTCTGTGAAATCTTCTGTGAGGACTCTTAGCTAGAAGTGCCGTGGTACCTTTTGTACATAGCTGATGCTGTCTTAGAGAGCTTAGCGATCTCTTGTGATAGCTAGGCGCTTATTTCTCGGATGGCGGTTCACACTTGCCCTGATTTTCAAAAACCCTTTCCTTATGTATCTTAGATAACATATAAATTTCCTTACAATAGCATTGGTCCGAAGTTGTCAAAACCATCAGATTTAAATTCAGTTGGCTTTCAATCGCTAAGTGCTTGGTTTAAATTAATTGGCTGATTCCAGCTAGTTGCCAAAACATCAAAACAATCACACATCCAATTGATACATGTTTCAAATTCAGAACTGGCTGTACATCTTCAGCTACATATAAACACACTTTTTTTTCTGTATAAATTGCCAAGCTTAGAAAAGCACTTTACCTCTTAAAGGAACCACGCAATCTTCTCCATTATCATGTTTTACAAACAGAATTCTAGGTTCCTACCTTCCAATTCACAATTACTGTACACAACCTTGTAACATTCGTAAGGTACAGTGACCCAAAGCAACTCGTGGGAGCTGTTATGCATAAATCTATGGGATGAGCTGAGTGCAGCAGTAAATCTTTTTCCGGTCGCTGTTTTTGTATATTTGGAGATTTGAGATCAATATTGTGGAAAATAATACAGGATGATACAGGAGACAGCCATTTAGCTCATTGTGTTCGTCCTGATCGATCAATATTTAGCTATCCAAACCACCTACACATAGTCCATAGCTGTATGGGATGACAGCTTTGCAAGACATCTGAGTATTTTTTTTAATGTGTAATCCTTGAAATGTAAAATATTTGCTCACCTGTTTGTTCATTCTCTTACTGATTACTTTAAATTCGTGTCACTTGCTTTTTGATCCCTTTGCTAAGATTATAAAGAGCCTCGGCAGGCTATTAATTTTATTTGCCAGGGTCAAGTCATCCCTCAATCTGCACTTTGAAGGAAAATAATCCCAGGCAGTCTAAGCTGAAGATCAGCCGCAATTGTATTGAATAATGAGGCTGGCAGAATAGGCTGTATAGTCCACTCTCCCTCCAAGGGCTTATATAATCTTTTCTCATCATTGCCAAGACTGAAAATTTTTAACTTACTTGTAATTTTACTTTGCACCCTCTTTAATGCAATCTCAGCTTTCTTTTAATGTGGTGACCAGATCTGTGGACAGTATTCAAGCTCTGATCTGATTCCTGTATGCAGTTCTGGCATCTGTTCCCTGCTCAAGATATTCTAAGAAAGGGAAGCATCTCAAATGCATCTTTAACTATCTCATCAACCCGCCCTGTTACATCTGAGCCGCAGGCTCCGTGGTACCTCTGTTTCATTGCATATTGTTCCTTTGAACTTGGACTCTCAGGTAGACGGGTAGTGAAGAAGGTTGGACTATACATCTTCACAACCCACTTCCTGTAAAGACTCTATCCCATTCTCTCAGTTCCTCCGTCTCCATCGTATATGTTCAGATGAGGCCAACTTCGACAAGGGAGCCTCCAAAATGTCCACCTTCTTCCTCAACCAAGGATTCCCCAGCTCCATTGTCGACAGGGCCCTCAACCAGGTCCGACCCATCTCCTGCACTTCAGCCCTCACCCCCTCTCTTCCCTCCAGCAACAGCGATAGGGTTCCCCTTATCCTTACCTACAATCCCACCAGCATCCACATTTAGAAGATCATCAGATGCCATTTCCGCCACCTCCAGCAAGATGCCACCACCAGACACATATTCCCCTCCCCTCCCTTGTCCGCCTTCCGCAGGGACCGTTCCCTCTGGGACACCCTGGTCCACACTTCCATCACCCCCAACACCTCCCCACAGCCCTACAGCACCTTCCCCTGTAACCGGCGAAGGCGCAAACCTGCGCATTTACCTCCTCCCTCCCCCGAATCCAAGGGCCCAAACATACCTTTCAGGTGAAGCAACACTTCATCTGCACTTCCAAGAATCTAGTCTACTGCATTCGCTGCTCACAATGTGGTCTCCTCTACATTGGGGAAACGAAGCGTAGACTTGGCGACCGCTTTGCAGAACATCTACATTCTGCTTGCAAAAAAGACCCTCAACTACCTGTTGTCTGCCACTTCAATGCACCACCTTGCTCCCTGGCCAACATCTCTGTCTCTGGCTTGCTACAGTGTTCCAGTGAAGTCCAACGCAAGCTGGAGGAACAACACCTCATTTTCCGCTAGGGGACCCTACAGCCCTCCGGACTCAATATTGCGTTCAATAATTTTAGGGCCTAAACTCTCCCATGTCCCAGACCCCACTCCACATACCAGGCCTTGTTACCACATAGCCTGCCACTACACACCCGCTGTTGTTAGTCACTAACAGTCCCCATTAACAACTACTCGCCCTCCCAGCCTGATTGTTAGCAACTCCTTTGTCTGTCCAACTGTCTTTCTCTCTCTCTTTGGGCTCTATCCTATCGTTTACTCCCTACCCCACCCACCTCCCTATTTTCTGCAAATAAACTGACGTTTTCCCAGCCACCATCAGTTCTGAGGAAGGGTCACTGGACCCGAAATGTTAACTCTGTTTTCTCCTTCACAGATGCTGCCAGACCTGCTGAGCTTTTCCAGCAACTTTGTTTTTGTTAGTGAAGAAGGCATTTGGTGCACTTTCCTTTATCGGCCAGTGTAACAAGTATAGGAGTTGGTGTGTCATGTGCATCTGTACAGCACATTGGTTAGGCCACTTTTGGAATACTGTGTTCAATTCTGGTCTCCCTGCTATAGGAACGATGTTGTGAAACCTGAAAAGGTTCAGAAAAGATCTACAAGGATGTTGTCAAGGTTGGAGCGTTTGACCTATAGGGAGAGGCTGAATAGGCTGGGGCTATTTTCCCTGGAGTGTTGGAGGCTGAGGGGTGACCTTAGAGAGGTTTATAAAATCATCAGGGACCATGGATAGGGTGAATAGCCAAGGTCTTTTTCCCAAGGTAGGGGAGCCCAAAACTAGAAGGCATACGTTTAAGGTGAGAGGGGAAAGATTTAAAAGGGACCCAAGGGACAATCTTTTCCATGCAGAGGGTGGTTCATGTATGGAATGAACTGCTGGAGGAAATGGTGGAGGTTGGTACAATTTCAACATTTAAAAGGCATCTGAATGGGTGTTTGAACAGGAAGTGTTTAGAGGGATATTGGCCAAATGTTGACAAATGGGACTCGACTAATTAGGATAGCTGGTCGGCATGGACAAGTTGGACCGAAGAGTCTGTTTCCATGCTGTACGTCTCTATGACTTTAATTTGCCCTCAACAGTAACTCTATTCCAGCTTTGCTTCTGAAACAAGGATGTTTAACGGAAAAAAATCATATTCTTGTATTTGCTTCAGCTATATCACAGTATTTGTTCTGATGTGAATAACTAGTGCTTCTTAAGACAGTCAAGTAGAATTGTGATATTAGTCAAACTTGTGGTGATCAGATCACCATTTGCACCACATTATAGAAAATATTTGCAATAGTAATAAAACAAACGCACAGTCTTTTGAAATTTAGGTTTAAGGTTTCAAACTGTCAGCAAGACCAATACATAGCCAAAGTTAAGAGAACAGCTTCGAAATAATTTTACTGTCCAGTTAGAGTCACAGTCGTACAGTATGGAAACTGACCCTTGGCCCAACTTGTCCATGTTAACCAAGTTTCCTATCCGAACTTGTACCATTGGTCTGCGTTTGGCCCATATCCCTCTAAACCTTTCCTATACAGAGACCTATCCATGTTATTCAGCAAAGCATGTCTTTTATATACACTGAAAGAATGAGAATCTGTTAACTGAAATTTTCTGTTACTGACTGCATATTTCAGTTGAAAAATAGTGAACTGTCTGTATTTTATCAAAATTGTTTTATTAGAGAGACCATGTGGGAGAAGAACCAACAGATCTCTATCTGTTGATGTTTAAGCTTTGATATACTTATTGTCAGCTGCCATTCCCAAACACTGGGTCTGATTATTAAATAAACCTTTGGTTCATTGCTGCCGCCCTCCTGTTTGTGCTGATTTGTATCAGTAAGCATCCTTGTCCTTTCAATTGCTCAATAAAACAGATACACTGAGATTTAAGGGTCTAGGCCTGAAACGTCAGCCTTCCTGCACCTCTGATGCTGCTTGGCCTGCTGTATTCATCCAGCTCTACATCTTGTTATCTCCGATACACTGAGCTGATGGCTGAAAATCTTTGGCAGTGTTTGCACTTTACCAGCCTCCCAAAATTGCACATTTCAAATCTCATTAATCACCGTACAGCGCTGCTCATTGCTCATGCACCTGAACTGTTTTGGGTAAACCTCCAATTATCTGCTGAACAAAGCTGAGTCGTTTATTTGTCATCCCCATGTCTCGAGATCGTCTCAAAGTTTTGGGGACGTTAGACCTCTGTCCTTCTAAAGGCCACCATGCTTCTGCAATGAAGTGCTGCAGATCTAAATGAATCACTATTTGCAGATGCTAATTTAAATTAGCTATTTACATATGAATGTAGTATCCCCAACATGCTTCTTCCATTATGGTTTGCTTAACTATACTTGAGAGTTTCAATTTCCAACTGCAAGACATTAATATACCGTGTAATTTGGCGTCCTTTATCTGTACATGTTGATTTTGCCTTATTTGCATTTCCCTTTTCCCACTTGTTGTTTGGCCACTTCAGCTTCCCCAACTGATGTTGTGCATCATAACCTTTCCAACAAATAACACTCCTACTTCCATGTAATTTTCACTTTATTTGACTAGCATGTACAGATTCATTATGCAACTAGAACAGCAGTTCTTTTGTCACTAACGTAAGGAAGAGGTTTTGAGGTGTTGCACAAATTATCTGTTTTGTTAAATGGTAGAAAATCCCTTAAATTATTTGGAAACATATAAATATTTTCTAGGTTTGCTTCAAGTTCTATTTCAGTGACACTGCATATGAATGAAAAGCTGCCAGAGAAAGCATGGTGTGAAATGTTTTTATCCTTCTGAGTGATACTGGCAAGTTATACACAACTGTCTCACTTACTCCCAAATACATAAAATATTTTACATGAAGTACTGAATTTATTGTAAAAGTGTCAAATATTTCAATTTTTTTCAATGGGTCTGTTAAATATCTAGAAGAAGTAAGTGTTACAAATAATTAAACTCATTATCTTCCAAGTTATTATTGAAAGAATGTTCACTAAATTTTTTTTGAAAGCTGTTGAGAAATTGTGCTGCAGCTGTGTTATTTAGATGAAGACAAATTAGATTGTAAAGTAAGTTCGCATGTTTGAAGTTCTTTGATCTGCTGGATTTGCAATAATGACATCTGATCACATGATTTGCCTGACATGCATGTCTGTATGCGCAGTTCTGTTGCCCTTCCACATGAATATCAAATTTTATTTTCTTAAAAATTATAACTGAAGCGATGAGACTTTTTCTGTAGGTTGGAAACGTATGAAGCAGGAATGCAAATTCTCAATCAATCTATGGATGAGTGGATTCAGTCATGGGGTTAGATTTGGGAAATCAAGGTTGCCTTCCTTAGAGAGAAGATTGGGGGGAGATTTGACAGAGGTGTTCAACGTCCTGAGCGATCAGGACAGAATACATGGGGAGAAATTTCTGCATTTGTGAAAGGGTTGAAAACAAAGGACAGCAATTTATAGTGAAGAACTGAAGGCAACCAGTTAAGTCATGGAATGGACACAGCAGGCCAAGCAGCATCATAGGAGGAAAAAGGCTGACGTTTCGGGCCTAGACCCTTCATCAGAAATGGGGGAGGGGAAGGGGGTTCTGAAATAAATAGGGAGAGAGGGGGAGGCAATTAGAAGATGGATGTGAGAGAGTTGCAGTGGGAGAGAGATCCCCTGAGGTTTGTCCAGAGGGAGGAGGGTAACTTCTTCAGGCTAGGCATCCTTAGAAGAGGCTTCGCAGTGGGGTTAAAATTGAATCAGAGATAGTAGGAACTGCAAATGCTGGAGAATCCATCTTCTATCCGCCTCCCCCTCTCTCCCTATTTATTTCAGAACCCCTTTGCCCTCCCCCATTTCTGATGAAGGGTCTAGGCCTGAAACGTCAGCCTTTTTCCTCCTATGATGCTGCTTGGCCTGCTGTGTTCATCCAGCTCTGCACCTTGTTGTCTCAAATTCTCCAGCATCTGCAGTTCCTACTATCTCTGAGGTCATGGAACGGACTGCTTGACACCATGGTTGTGGAACAAACAGGACAATTCTCTGAGGAGGAAAATATTGTAGGACTACAGCGAAAGGAGGACAGTAGGACTGGCTAAGTTGCTTTTGCAGAGAGCTGGCAGGCCAAATGGCTGGCTTTGGTTTTTTTCTGTTCTATGAAGTTTAAAAAAATAATTATTCAAAAATTGGAAGTTACCAACTGATACAAATAATGCATCAATTATGCCACACACATAGTTTGAAAATCGTTTGACCCATTTCTTGAATTATTTACTGAAGACTGTACTTCTGACTTGATAAGATTTGTAACAACTTTCAAAAGATTAAAAACACCATTTTGCATCAGTAGCATTGTTTTTTGCATTTGAACTGCCTTTAATATTTACACTTGGAATTTTGTGCTTGTCGGAGACATCCAAGACAGAGTTAATGGAGGTTTTATCTATTAGTTGAATAGAATCAATTTATCAGGCTATAAATTTTATCACGAAATCGCAACACAAAACAGTGTGTTTGATCCAACCAGTCCTTAGGGTGGTTATCCTCCATATAAGCCACACTTTGTTTAGAGCTCAGACAAGGTACATTCTTATGCTTGATAGTAAAATTGGATGTTCATCTTGGGGGATTTGCAGTTGTCATTTGGCCAGTTCTTGCATGTCATTCAAAACAATTGTAGAAACTAGTGTTTAATTTGATTATGTTGCAAAAAGTTGTACTGTACCTCTTGCTATAAAAAGTCAGCTTCTGGAGTATTCCAGTTTGTAAGATTAAACCAAAATCCAAAATTTGTTTTATTAAAGCATTCTGCTGGGTATGCTACGCTGCAAACAAGTTGATTTGACAAATCAGAAAGCAAAGTGTCACTTTCATATATCAGCCTCTGTTATCACTAGACACTTATTAAGTAGGTAAGCTTTTAAGAATGGATTTTCCCAACACTTTTTTTTTGAAAAACAAAGTCTAAAACAACTTTACAGGCACTGATTTTAAAGAAATTTTTGTGAGGGTGAGAGTTCTTATAAAATTCTGCAAAACCTTGCTTCCCGTTTTGACCTTGCAGCACAATTCAAGTTGCAACAGGATCCCTTATATTCACCTTGAACAATGCATGGACATCTGGTAAGGTGTTAACTTTTTGTGATTGTCTCTAGTTTTATTGAGCTTAAACCTATTCTAATTCAATAGGCAAAGATGGATGAACTGCAACTTTTCAGAGGTGATACTGTATTGCTGAAAGGAAAGAAGAGACGGGAAACAGTTTGCATCGTTCTATCAGATGATACGTGTTCTGATGAGAAGGTTCGCATGAACAGGGTTGTGCGCAACAACCTGAGAGTGAGACTGGGTGACATTGTGAGGTAAACTTTTTTTTTGAAGAGAACAAATTTTTTTAGACCAGAAATAAAATTTCTCAACTCGGGAAAATATAATTTTTGCAAAGTTGAAATGCGTTTAGCTGAAGTGAACTGAGAATAACTACTTGAAGGTGGATCGATGTTAGATTAATGGGAGGCATGTAAAGAAGAAAGTGAGAGTTCAGTATGGTATGTTCACTTCATTTTAAAAAAAGGACAGGACCAACTAATCCACCGATCCCTGGACTCAATTAGATATAAAGGAGGTGAAATAATAAGAAGGAAGCTCATTACATATTGAGGATTACTTACTACTGAAAACCTGGGGGAAGCGTAAAAAGTGAAATTATAAAGGGAATTAGGAAAGCAAAGAGTGCATATTAGCATATGTTGCTCAAAAAATTGAGAAAGAAACAATTTTTTTCCAATAAATAGAAAATATAAAGAAAGCAAGGCGATAACTAAAGCGAATCTGGGTCCTAAAGAGGATCTTAGGTGTAACCTATGCACAGTAGGTATGTATATAGTTCCATTTTGTTTACATAAAAGGAAGGAATAATGTAGACATTTCAGTCAGGACCTGTGAGAAATATCAGCTTAAATTCATGTAGTGATACTAAGTATTAAAGGGTTTAACATCTTTTAGAAGTGAATAAATCCTGTGTGTAGATGAAATGTATCGTTGGCTGTTGAGGAAAACCAGTGGCTCCAAACAACAACATCCGATCTCTGGCTGCAGGTGTGGTCACAGTGGTTTGCAGGACTGTTTTCTTAAAAAGAAAGAGTCAGCATAGGTTTGGTTGGAATATTCTTGGAAAAATATTTGGGACAGGATAAACCATCGTGTAGACGAAAACTTTAATCGAAGACAGTCAGCATTGATTTGTTAAGAAAGTGGCGTCTGATTAACATTGTTTTGAAAAGGTAACAAGAAAGATAGATGGAAGTAGTGCATTTGAGATTTTGTGAAATTTAGCCTTTGATGGCATAGGTCTTTGAAAGTAAAAACCAATGCTACCAAAATGACAAGATGTAAATTTACTCCATTGGCAGAAAGTAAAGGGCAATGATCAATGGGTCTGGAAGGCTGTTTCCATTGGAGTTCTACTGCACTCAGTACTAGTTCCTTGGCCTTTTAAGATATATATTAGTAATTTGGACTTGAATGTAGAGGGTATGATTTAAGAAATTTGGAGACGGTACCAAAGTTGACTGTGGTCGAAGAAGGCGACAGATGTAGATTGCAGGAAGGTAGCACTGGGGACTGGTCAGATTATCAGAGCAGTGGAAAATGAAATTCAGTCTAAAACATGTAAGGTAATGCATTTGGGGAATGCTAACAGCGCATTGGGATTCCTAATAAATCATGGCATATGTTTTATTCTTCTCAATGTGTATCACATGTGCACAGATCCCTGAAAGTGGATCAGAAGGCATATTGGGATGCTTTAGAGGAACAGGAAAGCTGAAATTTTCTTAAGGGTCTCGACCCGAAACGTCAGCTTTCCTGCTCTTCTGATGCTGCCTGGTCTGCTGTGTTCCTCCAGCTCCACACTATTATCTCGGATTCCGGCATCAGCAGTTCTTACTATCTATGCTTGATTAGCCGGAACACAGAATATATGTGCAACGAAGTTAAGCTGAATTGAATAAAACTGTAGTTACAGCACAACCAGGTATTGCATGCCATTCTTGTTACTTGTAACAAAGATACACTTAGTGTAATGAAGATACAGAGGAGATGTGCAATAACGTTGACTAGATCACTTTAATTTTGGGAATATTAAATAGGTTTGAAGGAAGAAAGCTGAAGGGGTACCTGGGGGTATTGGGCCTCATAGAAGATTTTCATAAAATGGATTTAAAGATAATGTTTGCTCTGGTATGGAAGAGCGTAGCTAAAGGCTTTCGATTATAATATAGTCATCCTGAAATCCAATTACATATTCAGGAAAAGGTTCTAGATGTAGTGTGTTAAGAATGTAGAGCTAACTACAATGGAGAAAAGTGAATAGTTTGGATGGTTTAAGGGAATCTGGACAAACATTTGAGGGAGAAGGGAATAGGTGGTGGTGAGAGGAAGAAGTACAAATGGAGCATAAACTCTGACATGCATTGATTGAACTGAATAGCCTGTATCTTTGCAGTAAACTGTATGTCATCCTGTGTAAGATAAAGGTTACTTGCTGTGAAGGATGAAGCACAATTCAATATGATTTTTCAATTTTTAAGTGTGTTCTGTTTGCCTTCAGCATTCAGCCATGCCCAGATGTAAAGTATGGCAAACGAATCCATGTACTACCACTTGATGATACAGTTGAGGGCATTACTGGGAACTTATTTGAAGTTTATCTCAAACCCTATTTCCTGGAAGCTTATCGACCAATCAGGAAAGGTGAATTTTCAGTTTGACCTTAAGTATTTTTGAAACTTTTAATTTTCTGAGTGATTTGTCTCGTCTGTTGTATTAATGGTTCCTTCAACTTTGTGATAGAAAGATGAGAATTACTGAAAACAGTTTCAAAATCTTTTCACTTTTCTCAATGCTTTATTTACTTTTCCAAATACCATGTATAACTAATTTATCATTTATCTTAAAGGTGATATTTTCCTGGTCCGTGGTGGAATGCGTGCTGTGGAATTCAAAGTGGTGGAAACTGATCCAAGCCCATATTGTATAGTTGCTCCAGACACAGTCATTCACTGTGAGGGTGAACCCATCAAACGAGAGGTACTGTTAACCATGTGTGGGATTGACCATAAGAAATAGGATTGTGAGCAAGAATAGGGTGTTCAGGCTTTTGAATCTGCTCCATTATTGTCAAGGTAATGACTGGTTATGGAAAAATGTAAAACAAAAAAAGGATTTTTGTGGTGGGTGATTTTTAATTTCCCCAAGAGCTTGGATTGGGGGAGATTTGTTAGGTGTGTCCAGGATGGTTTGTTGAAACAATATGTAAGTAATTCAACTAGGAGGGTGCCTTAGGAGACCTGGTATTGGAGAATGAGCCTGGCCAGGTGATTGAAGTATAAATGACTGACAGAGCATTTCAGGAACAGTAACCATAATTTTGTAGGCTTTAAGGATAAGAGTGGTCCTTGGGGAAGGCTAACTACCACAATATTAAGCAGGAATTGGGGAATGTAGATTGACGGTGTCTGTATGAGGGTAAAACCACATCTGGTCTGTTGGAATCTTTTAAAGGCCAGTTGATTTAGAGTTCAAGATCAGCATGTTGCTATGAAAATGAAAGATCAGGATGGGAAAATTCAGGGAACTTGGGATGACAAAAATTGAGACCTTGGTCAAAAAGAAAAAAAAGGCATTCATAAGGTTGAGGAAACTGAAGACAGAGCTCTTGAAGAATACAAGGATAGCGGAAAAGAACTCAAACGAGGAATTAGGAGGACTAAAAGGGGCCATGAACTGTCTTTGGCAAATCAGATTAGAGAAAAATCCCAAGACGTTTCTTACATACATATATGAGGAGTAAGAGGGTAGCTAGGGAAAGGGAAGGTCCGCTCAAGGACAATGGGGGGGCTTTTACACCTGAAGCCAAAGGAAGTGGGTCAGGTCTGTAATGAATACTTTGCGTCACTATTCACGTAGGAGAAGGGCATGGTGGATGGTGAGTCTCAGGAGGGGTGTCTTCATATTCTAGGGAACGCAAATATAAAAAAAGGGAGGATGTATTGGCTGTTTTGAAAAGCATTAAGGTAGATAAGTCCCCAGGATCTCATGGAATCTGTCTCAGAATGCTGACAGAGACAGGTGAGGAAATTGCTGATGACTTGTACAAAATCTTTGTATCCCCTTCAGTCACAGAAGAAGTCCCAAAGAACTTGAGAATAACCAGTCTTGTTCCTTTGTTTAAGAAAGGCAACAGGCATAATTTGAGAAATTACAGGCCGGTGAGCCTCACATCAATGGTAGGGAAGTTAATGAAGAAGGTTCTTCAGAATGGAATTTGCTCACATTTAGGGGGGAAAAATGCTCACATTTGTGGGGAAAGCAAAAAGCTGGTGGACTGCAGCGGTTCAGGAAGGCAGCTCACCACCTCAAAGGCAACTAGGGATGGGCAATAAATGCTGCCCAGCCAGCAATGCCCACTTCTCACAAATTAATAAAATAAATGCAATTATCAGCAATAGGCAGCATGGGTTTATGTGGACAAGGTTGTATCTCGAGTGTGATTGTGTCTTTTTGAGGAAGTGACAAAGGGGGTGATAGATGGTAGATGTTGTCTACATGGACTTTGACAAGGCCGTTTACATTTATGTCAGGCTGACACAAAAGTTGAAGTGACATGGAATCCATGGTAAGATGGATACAGAACTGGCTTAATCATAGAAGATACAGTAATGGTGGAATGGTGTTTTTGAGTGGAGATCTGTGACCAATGGTGTTCTGTGGTGATCTGTGCTAGGACCCCTGTTGTTTGTGTAATATATAAATGATTTGGAGGAGAGTATAGGTGGCCTGATTAGTAAGTGTGTGGATGACATGCAGGTTGGGGAAGCTGTGGATAGCGAGGAGGATGGCCAGAGGATAGAGCAGGATATAGATAGGTGGAGACACAGGTGGAGAAATGGCAGATGGCGAATAATCCAGACAGATGTGAGGTGATGCATGTTGGAAGATCTAATTCAGGAGGGATGCATACACTAAATGGCAGAACCCTTAGTAAAGGGAACTAGGCATAGAGCTCCACAGTTCCCTGCAAGTGGCAATACAAGTGGATAAGTTGGTCAAGAAGCCATTTAGCATACTTGCCTTCATCGGTCAGGGCATAGAGTGCAAAAATTGCCAAGTCATGTTGCAACTGTACTGTTTAGTTCAGCCTGATTTGGAATATTGTGTATGCTTCTGGTTGGCACACTACCAGAAGGAAGTGGAGGCTTTGGAGAGGTACAGAAATGGTTTACAAAATTGAGAGACATGGATAGTTGGAGTCTTTTTCTCCCCAGTTAAAATGTGGGCATACCCTTTAAGGTAAAAGGGAATAAGTTTAAAGGAGATGAGAGGCAAGTTTTGCTTTTACACAAAGGGTGGTTAGCGCCTTGAATGCACTGCCAGAAGAGGTGGCAGATACAATAGCCATGTTTAAGAGGCAATTTGACAGATATGAAAATGCAGGGAATAGGATACAGACTGCGTAGAGGCAAAAGATTTTGAGTTTGGAGAGGCATCATGTGTCAGTCAAAAGGCCTGTTCCTGCCCTGTACTGTCCTTTGTTTTGACTGCACTAGTTTGGTCTCAACCTCTTGTCTCTGGGGTGGTCAAGACAAAAATGAGTCATGGTTTATCAGAAGTCTATCTTAGCTGAACCTTGAATAAATTTAATGACCCAACATCCAATGCTTTCTGGGGAGGATCATTCCACACATGAACAACCCTCAGATTTAAAAAAAATTCTTCTTGCTTTGTTTGTAAACCTTTACTCTTAGATTGTATCCCCTACTTGTACTCTCCACCATAAGAGGAAACATCCTCATGGTATTTCCCCCTATCATTGTCAGCATGGGCAACAGTTCTTGTACAAGAGAATAAAATATCTTAAGTAATTATTGATAAACCAAATTTTTTCCTAAGCTGATCTCTAAATTTGGAACACAAAAAGGTGTTCTAAAATCTCTTTAAACTCCTGTGAAAACAAGCCCAGGCTGACCATCTTTCCTCATTAAAAGGTATGGAGGTGAATCCATTGATGGGTTTTAATTTAAACTTTGTTTCTCATTTAAAACATAAAGGAAAAAAAAGAGGATACCCAAAGGAAGGTTGAAAGGAAAGAAATGAATTGCTAATATATTATAGACAATATATATTTTCCATCTGGCTATCTGATCTTTGGTATTTCGGACAAAGACTGCAGAGGGATTTCTTTATTGCATAGCACAGCAGTGATAACGCATAATTTTCGTTGTTAATGTTCTGAAGTAGTCAAAAATGCTTTGTTTTATTTCAGATTGCTGTAATTATATCGTAAGACTCAGAAATATCACATGGACAGCTTCAAAATTATTTCAGGGCATGCAAAATTATTCCTTTGTACTCTCACGGATTTGCAGTTTTTTTTGTGTCTTTTTTAATTTGTTCAGATTGCTGGCTGATCATTTATTGCCCATCCCTAATTGACCAGAGATGCAGTTAAGAGTCAGCCACATTTCTGTCGGCCTGGAGTCACATCTAGGCCAGACCAGGTAAGAGCACCAAATTTCCTTGCTTGAAGGTGCTTAGGGAGCCAGATAGCTTTTCACAAAATGGTTATGTGATCGCCATTTGACTCTGGATTTTTATTGAAGTCAGATTTTACCATCTGCAGTGGTGAGATTCATACCCATGACCCCAGAACATTAGCTTGGATTCTGGCTTCCTAGTCCAGGGGGATATCCACTACTCCACCACTTCCCCTAATGATTAAAGGCAATTTAAACTGTTTTATTTCTTTTTCATTTGAAGGACGAGGAAGAATCTTTGAATGAAGTTGGATACGATGATATTGGTGGATGCAGAAAACAGCTTGCTCAGATCAAAGAGATGGTGGAGCTGCCTCTCCGTCATCCTGCCCTCTTCAAAGCTATTGGTGTCAAGGTAAGAGAATTAACATAGTTCTTCTTTATTTCTCTTTATTTGATGGATATTCTAAAACTTCCTTAAAAGAAATTTTCAAAATTTTATAGTTTGTTTAATGTATTGAATTCATTATTACTGAAAAGATAGGCTTATTGCGGAAACTCTGTGTGTCTCTCTCTGTCATCTGGACAAATGCAAGAATGCCATATTTCCACATGGGGATACGCATATGAGATTGAAGCAGAAATTGGCTGTTTAGCCCCACCAAGTCTGCTCTGCCATTCAGTTAGATCATGGCTGATCTTTTTGTGTTATGAATCTTGTATCCACTGACAAAAAATCATTGATTCCCTATGGCCAGAAGGAATCCTGTATATCTTTTGCCCCTTATAATTATTGAATTATCCTGCGTCCTTTGCCTTCTCAAGCAGAGAGTTCCAAAATCTTTCAACTGTGGACAAAAAATCTTGTCATTCTGTCCTAAAAGAGCGACCCTTAATTTTACTGAACTCTCCAGAAGAGTAAACATGCTTTCCTCATTTACTTTGTGAAGACCATTTGGGGTCTTCTTAAACTTCAAGCAAGTCATCTTTAGATCTTCTAAACACCAATGAAATCGAGCCCAGACTGACCATCTTTCCCCAATACAATCTCCTCTGAGCCCCTTCAAAGGCATTTACATCCCTCCCTAAATTAAACCAATGCTGCACAATATTTGAGATGTCGTCTCACCTAGCCTTATAGAACTGGATCATAGCATGCTTTATATTTTTGTTCAATCCCTTTCTAATAAAGGATAGAATTCCAATAGCTGCCTTTAATAACTTGCTGTATCTGTTTTGTGACTTGTGGACCAGACTAAGATCCCTCTGCAGCTCAAGTCTGTAGTCGTCATCCATTTAATAATAGTTTATTTCATTTTCCCTTCCAACATGAACAACTTCTCATTTTCCCACTCCATCTGCAAGTTTTTTGCCCATTCACATAGCCTATTTATATCAGTCTGAATCCCTGTTATGTCATCTGCGTAATGTACTCTCCTACCTAATTGTGTTTCATCTGCAAATTTCATCCTTTCCTTCCCCAATTCATCCTCTAAATCATTGATGTAAATTGTAAAAAAAAAATTGAGGGCTCAGCAGTTACGTTTGTGGGAGCTGACCTGCGACATCCTGCTAACCTGAGCAAAGTCCAGTTTATGCATACTTTGGCCCAACTCATCCATGCCAACCAGCTTTCCTAAACTGAACAAGTCCCATTTGATTGCATTTGGCCCATATCCCTCTGAACCTTTCCTATCCATGTACCTGTCCAAATGTCTTTTTAATGTTGTACTCACCTCTACCACTTCCTCTGCCAGCTCGTTCTGTATATGCACAACCCTCTGCTCCTCGGGTCCCTTCTGCTGCCCACCCCCACCCGGCTTAAGCCTATGCCTTTTAGTTTTGGACTCCCCTATCTTGGAGAAAAGATCTTGGCTATTCACCTTGTCTATCACCCCTCAGCCTCCAATGCTTCAGGGAAAAGAAGTCCCAGCCTATCCAATCTCACATCCAGTAATTCAAACCTTCTGGTCCTGGAACATCCTTGTAAATCTTTTGGCACCCTTTTCAGTTTAATAAATTTCTTCCTATAGCAGGGTGACCAGAATTGAATGCGGTACTCCAAATGTGCCTCACTTGTTCCTGGTGTTGGAGTCCTTTAAGTATAGCAAATGAGAATGACCAGGTCAAGGTAACATTGCACTAATTTCTATGATTATGAAACATAATCATGCCGGTTCAAGGGATAGAGTGTTTAGTTCAATATTTTTCAATACTTTAAAAGCACAAAACTAGGTCTCAAGTTATATTTAGTTATGCAGCAAAAACATGAAGAGGGCACATAAGTGATTAGCACTGCTGCCTTACAGCACTAGGGACCTCGGTTCGATTCCAGCCTTGGGCTGGAATGTGTCGAGTTTGTACACACTTCCCATGTCTGCGAGGGTTTCTGCCAGGTGCTGTGGTTTCCAACCACGGTCTGAAAATGTGCAGGTTAGAAGGATTGGCCATGCTAAATGTCCCATAGTGGCCAGGGATGCACAGGTTAGGCATGTAGTAAATGCGGGGTTACTGGAATAGGGTGGGCCATGGGTCTAGGGTGGCATGCTGTTTGAAGGGTTGGTGCAGACTTGATGGATTGGATGGCCTCTATCTGCACTGTAGGGAATCTGTTTCAATGAAGTAATTACTGACGTTCAGAGATTTTTGCTGCTCCTTGCCTTACATTTGAAGATTTATTACATTTCATAGACTTGAACAGAAGTTTCTTTTGTGATTCGTTCCTCCCAATTGCAGTACAATTTAGATAATGTTTCCAAAGCTCACTGTCCTGCGCTGTTTGCTGTGACTCCCACTGGGCTCCAATCCTGAAGAACAGGCAAGGTTATTTTTGCTTTCCTGCACCATTCATGAAATACATGAAGTCTCTTTTAGTAAAATGCTGTCTTAGCTAGAAAATTAGATTTAGCTATAGTAAATTTACCATTAAATAACAAGCAAAAGCAAGTAAACAAATGTGGCTGTTATTGGGGAATATTATGTCAAGAGATGGAATTACAGATTGATGTACACACCAAGGTGAGAACAACATGATACATCATAACTCCTGAGGAGCTGTTCATCGATCAGTCATTGTCAGTCAGTCACAATGTTCCCAGATACAATTTGATTTGAACCACCATTTACTTGAAAGCTGTCATCTTCAGAATTCTTCTTTTAGACTTATTCTTAAATAGGCATTGTTGGTAAGTCCAACATTCATTGCACATCCGTAATTACCTAAATCGGGTGGGTTTTTACAACAATTGATGCTATTTCCAGCATCACTCTTAGCGAGGGTAGTTTTGAATTCCAGCTTTAATTTAAATTCCACTAGGTGCGAAGGTGGGACATGAATCCATGACCCCAGAGCACTAGCCTGGGCCCCTAGAGTACTAGTCTAGAGAGTTTGCTACAAGCCCCTTTAAGGATAGAATCATAAAGTCAGAGTTATACAGCACCGAAACAGAGCCTTTGGTCCAATTCATCCATGCTGACCAGACATCCTAAATTGATCTAGTCCCATTTACCAGCATTTGTCCAATATCTCTTTAAAATCCTTCCTATTCATATACCCTTCCAGATGCCTTTTAAATGATGTAATTGAACTCACCTTGTTCCAGACACACACCATCTTCTGTGTAAAAACATTGCCCCTTGGGTCCATTTTAAACCTCTTCCCTCTCACCTTAAACCTGTGCCCTCTGGTTTTGGACTCCCCTGCGCTGGGAGAAAGGTCTTGGTTATTCACCTTATCCATGCCCCTCATGAGTTTGTAAACCTCTAAGGTCTTCCCTCAGCCTCTGCTCCAGGGAAAAAAGCCGCAGCGTATTCAACCTCTCCCTGTAGGTCAAACCCTCCAATCCTGGCGACACCCTTGTAAATCTTTTCTGCACCCGTTCAAGTTTTATGGCATCTTCCCCAATGTGGGGAGACCAGAACTGAGCGCAGTATTCTAAAAGTGGCCTGTACAGCCGAAACCTGACGTCCCAACTACAGTACTCAGTGTACTGACCAGTAAAGGCAAGTGTGCCAAATGCCGCCTTCACCACCCTGTCTACCTGCGACTCCACTTTCAAGGAACTTTGCATCTGCACCCCTAGGTTTCTTTGTTTGGCAGTACTCCCCAGGGCCCGACTATTACCTGTTTCAATCCTGTCTTGGTTTGCCTTACAAAAATGAGTCTTTGGATATTTTCAACTGCTCCATGTGTGTCATAACAATTATGTCAAAAAGATACAAAAACCGTGGACATTAGAAATCTGAAATAAAAGCAGAAAAATGCCGGAGAAGTGTTTAAATCTGTTTCTCTCTCCACAGATGCTGTAAGATCTGCTGAGTTTCTCCAGCATTTCCTAATCTTATACCTGTATTGATTCAATACTGAAGCATTTTTCACACTATGAATAGGAGCAAGATAAATCATTTAAGTCTGTACTAGATTCAATGAAATAATTGCTGATCTGTAATCTATTTCCACCTTTTCCCCATATCCCCATACCTGTCTCTGGTGAGGAGAAATCTGTCCATATCAGATTAAGAACTGACAACTGACTTGGTTTTCTGTGAGTCAACTAGTCTTCTATCCATGCTAGTATGTTATTCCATACACAGTGAGCTCCTACTCCGCGCTGTGTCAAAACTTGTTACTCCATCAAATTAAACTAATAAATTGGTTAAATCCAAAACTTGATTTCCCTTTCTGACTCTGTCCAATTGACTTGAGTTTTCCCAAGTGCCCAGTTGGAACCCCCTCAATAATCAATTCTAATATCTTCCCATGATTGATTTAAGATGTCAAAGTAGGTGATTCAGTCTATCAAATTTGCTCTGCCATTCAATTACAGAATGGCTGCTCTGCTTAGCCTCAACACCACTTTCCTTCCTTATCCCCATAACCCTCGATTCCCTTACTGATTTAAAAATCTGCCTGTCTCAGCCTTGAATGCTTCAAGCCAACTGGCATTTAGTTTCTGCCTTTCTGAATAGAGGGTTACGTTTGCTATTTTTCATAGAATCTAAGGAATTTTGGAAAATTAACACTAACGCATCTCATTAGTGACCTCTTTAAGACCCTAGGATGAACTCCAGGATCCAGGGTTTTAACCCAGAACTCCATCAGTTTGCTCAGTACCATTTCCCTAATAATTTATAATTTCACCAAGTTCTTCTGTTCCTTCAACCTTCTGATTTACAGTTATTACTGAAATGTTTTTATGACCTCTGTAATGAAGACAAGCAAAACATTTCATAGAATCATAGAATCCCTACAGTGTGGAAACAGGCCCTTCAGCCCAACAAGTCCACACCGACCCTCAGAGCACCCCACCCAGACCCATCCCCTATAACCCACCAAAACTACAAATCCCTGAACACTACGGGCAATTTTACTATGGCCAGTCCACCTAGCCTGCACATCTTTGGACTGTGGGAGGAAACCGGAGCACCCGGAGGAAATCCACACAGACATGGGGAGAATGTGCAAACTCCACACAGACATTCGCCCAAGGGTGGAATCGAATCCTGGTCCCTGGCACTGTGAGGCAGCAGTGCTAGCCACCGTGCCCGTGCCTATCCCCACCCTGTAGAGAACTAACAGCTACTCGACTTCCACTGTTCTTTTTCAAATACTTGTAGAAACTCTTGCTATTTGTTTTTAAATTTCTGGCTAGTTTTTTCTTTCGCTCTAATTTATTTATCTTCATTTAGCATTAGGTGATCCTCAACAGCCGTCTGATGTGCTCTCACCTTTGCGCAATTATATGCTGTGTTTAAACCCTGATGTCTGATAGACTGGTGGAATCAAGGTTTCATCTATTCCATATTCGAATATAAACCCTGCGTCCACCTATAAGCCACAAGTCAGTAGTTTTATGAAATGCTGTTGTTTTCATGGATGGGTACAGCTGCAGGAATATTTTAAAAGCTTGTTAGTATCAATGATATTGCAGAGTGTGCTGTTTGCAAATTGTCCTGCAGCAAATCACGAAGGCTTCTTTGATAGCACTTCCCAAAACCATGATTCCACCACCTGAAGGGGCAATGATAATACATGCAAGACAACAGCAACACTCTCACCTCCAAATTCTCCTTAATATTCTTTCATTATCGCCAAGTTAAAATCTACTCCCCTGTCCCATATAATATTAGAGCATTTTGATCATGCTAATGGCAGCGCTTAAGGTGAATTGAGTGGGCAGTGAGAGGTGAGCATTACTTTTTAATTTTTAAAAATTCACTACTGGGATGTGGGCATTGCTGGCAAGGCCTGCATTTATTGCCTGTCCCCAGTTCACCTTGAGAAGGTGACGATGAGCTGCCTTTTTTTGAACCACTGCAGGGCATTTTGTGTGAAAACTTCACAATGCAGTTTAGGAAGGTACTTCCAGAATTTTGACCCAATGACACTGAAAGAGCAGTGATATGATCCCAAGTCTAGATGGTAAGTGGCTTTCAGGGAAACCTGCAGACATTAGTGTTCCCGTGTTGTTACTGCCCTTTTCAACATAGATGGTAGTGATTGCACGTTTGGAAGGTACTATCTGAGGAACTTTGGTGAATTCCTGAAGTGTACCTTGTCAAAGGTATGCGCCGCTGCTACTCATTGTTAGTAATAGAGGGATTAAATATGGATGTGATGCCAGTCAAATGGGCTCCTTTGTCCTGGATGGTATGAAAATACTTAAGTGTTGTTGGAGCTGTATACATCCAGGCATGTGGTGAGTATTCCAACACCCCCCTGACATGTGCTGTGTAGATTATGCACAGGCTTTGGGGGGTTAGGAGGTGAGTTGGCTGTGGGATTCTTGGCCTCTGACCTGCCCTTGTAATCATGGTATTTATATGGCTGGTACAGTTCAATTTCTGGTCATTGTAACCCTAGAATTTGTTAGCCTTGTCCGTAGCCTAACAATAGGCAAAAGAGGCAGCATTTTTTGTTTTGGGTTTTAGTAATTATTTTAATCAAGGATGGATACTTTGCATTCATTTGTAAAGAATTAATGCTAGGCTTCTCATGTTTCTGTCTTGCCCCCTCTCCTAATATAGCCACCACGTGGTATTCTGTTGTATGGCCCCCCTGGTACTGGCAAGACCCTGATCGCGCGTGCTGTTGCAAATGAAACTGGCGCATTTTTCTTCCTTATAAATGGTAAGGTACGATTTTCTATTCATGCTAAAATTGTTAATATCTGTTTGTTTGTGTTGAAAGGATAAAATGCTATGTCCTTGGACTCAAAATGGTGCCTGGATGCTGGATGATAGAACATTGTAGAACTGTACAGCACAGTACAGGCCCTTCGGCCCACGATGTTGTGCCGACCTATTATCCTACTAAGATCAATCTACCCTGCATATCCTACATTTTACTATCCTCCATGTACCTATCCAAGAGTTGCTTAAAGGTCTCTAAAATATCTGACTCCACTACCACTGCTGGCAGTGCATTCCACACACCCACCACTCTCTGTGTGAAGAACCTACCTCTGACATCTCCCCTATACCTTCCTCCAATCACCTTAAAATTATGCCCCTTCGTAATAGTCATTTCCGCCCTGGGAAAAAGTCTGACTATTCACTCTATCAATGCCTCTCATTATCTTGTACACCTCGATCAAGTCACCTCTCATCCTTCTTTGCTTCAAAGAAAAAAGCCCTAGCTCCCTCAACCTTTCCTCATAAGACCTGCCCTCCAGTCCAGGCAGCATCCTGGTAAATCTCCTCCACCCTGTCTAAAGCTTCCACATCTTTCCTATAATGAGGTGACCAGAACTGAACACAATATTCCAAGTGTGGTCTAACCAGAGTTTTATAGAGCTGCAGCATAACCTCATGGCTCTTAAACTCCATTCCCCTGCCAATGAAAGCCAACACACCATATGCCTTCTTTACAACCCTATCAACTTGGGTCGCAACTTTGAGGGATCTATGGATGTGGACCCCAAGATCCCTCTGTTCCTGCACACTGCCGAGAATCCTGCCATTAACCCTGTATTCTGCATTCAAATTCAACCTTCCAAAATGAATCACTTCACACTTTTCTGGGTTGAATTCCATCTGCCACTTCTTTGCCCAGCTCTACATCCTGTCAATGTCCCGTTGCAACCTACAACAGCCCTCCACACTGTCCACAACTCCACCAACCTTCATGTCATCGACGAACTTAGTAATCCACCCTTCCACTTCCTCATCCAAATTATTTATAAAGATCACAAAGAGCAGAGGTCCCAGAACAGATCCCAGGGGAACACCACTGGTTCACCGAGCTCCAGGCTGAATACTTTCCATCTACTACCACCCTCTGTCTTCTATTGGACAGCCAGTTTTGTATCCAGACAGCCAAATTTCCTTGAATCTCATGTCTCCTTACTTTCTGAATGAGCCTACCATGTAGAACCTTATTGAATGCCTTGCTAAAATCCATATACACCACATCCACTGCTCAACCTTCATCAATGTGTTTTGTCACATCCTCAAAGAATTCAATAAGGCTTGTGAGGCATGACCTGCCCCCCTCAAAGCCATGCTGACTATTTCTAATCAAACTGTACTTTTCCAGATAATCATAAATACTATCTCTCAGAATCCTCTCCAATAATTTGCCCACCACAGAAGTAAGACTGACTGGTCTGTAATTTCCAGGATTATCCCTATTCCCTTTCTTGAACAAGGGAATGATATTTGCCACCCTCCAATTTTCTGGCACTACTCCAGTGGACAGTGAGGACACAAATATCATTGCCAAAGGGGCAGCAATCTCTTCCCTCACTTCCCGTAGTAATCTTGGATATATCCTGTCTGGCCCAGGGGACTTATCTATCCTCATGTTTTTCAAAATTTCTAGCACATCCTCCTTCCTAATATCAACCTGTTCGAGCATATCTGCCTGTTTCATGCTGTCCTCACAAACGTCAAGGTCCCTCTCACAGGTGTATACTGAAACAAAGTATTCATTAAGGACCTCCCCTCCTTCCTCTGACTCCCCACACCAGTCTTCTCCACTATTTCTGATTGGCCCTACCCTCTCTCTGGCCATCCTCTTGTTCCTCACATACGTATAGAAAGCCTTGGGGTTTTCCTTGATCCCACCTGCCAAGTTTTTCTCATACCCCCTTCTAGCTCTCCTAAGTCCATTCTTCAGTTCCTTCCTAGCTACCTTTTGCAGACTTCTACAGCCCTGTCCGATCCTTGCTTCCTCAACCTTAAGTAAGCTTCCTTCTCCCTCTTGACTAGGTGTTTAACATGTCTTGTCATCCAAGGTTCCTTCACCTTACCATCCTTTCCTTGCCTCAGTGGGAGAAACCTATCCAGTACCTGTAGCAACTGCTCCCTAAACAACCTCCACATTTCTATCGTGCATTTCCCTGAGAACATCTGATTCCAGTTGGTGCTCCATAGTTCTTGCCTAATGGCATTTTAATTCCCCCTCCCCCAATTAAATACTTTCCCATACCGTCTGCTCCTATCCCCCTCCATGACTATTGTAAAGGCCAGGGAGTTGTGATCATTATCACCGAAATGCTCTCCCACCGAGAGATCTGATACCTGACCTGGTTCGTTGCCAAGCACCAAATCCAATATGGCCTACCCTCTAGTTGGCCTTTCCACATAGAGTCAGAAATCCTTCCTGGACATACCTGACAAAATCTGCTCCATCCAAACTATTTGCACTTAGGAGGTTCCAGTCTAGGGAAGTTGAAGTCGCCCATGATAACAACCCTATTACTTCTGCACCTTTTCAAAATCTGTCTCCCAATCTGTTCCTCAGTGTCTCTGTTGCTATTGGGGGGTCTATAGAAAACTTCCAATAAAGGCTAACTGCTCCTTTCCTGTTTCTGACTTCCACCCATACTGACTCAGTGGAGAAACCCCCCTCCATGACCTCCCTTTCTGCAGCTGTGATCCCATCCCTGATTAGCAATGCCACTCCCCCACCTCTTTTACCTCCCTCCCTATTTCTTTTGAAACATCTATACCCCGGAACATCCAACAACCATTCCTGCCCCTGTGTTATCCAAGTCTCTGTTATGGCCACAACGTTGTAGTTCCAAGTACGGATCTGTGCTCTAAGTTCGTCACCCTTATTCCTGACACTTGCATTGAAGTAGACACACCTCAACTCATCACACTGACTGCCACTTTGCCCTATCAACTGCTTACCCTTCCTCATAGATTCTCTGCTTGCTCTATCTGTCTGTACACTGGCAGAATTAATTTTGTCTTCCTGTTTTTCATACTGCATTGTATTGATCCTCTTCTTTGTCCCAGCCTATCTGTCAGTTTCCTATTGGTATTCTCATTTCTATGTCAAATTGTTATGTTGTTTCATGTTTTTTTTACTTCAAAGCCTTTGTGTTGAGTGGTTAGGTATTTGATACCAGTGCCAGAATTTTCCTGCATTGGTGAGATTGTCACCAGGTATTGTAAATTTAGACTCACCAATTACTGTCTAAAATTTCCTTCATATTTTCCTACATTTTTTAATGATGTTCTAATGAAGTATATGGTAGCAGCCTGGCCATTTTAATCTAATGATTTGATAATGCCTTTAATCAGTTTGTTCAACTGCAGCTACTTGGTAAAATAGTGTGACATAATTAATGGAACTTTAATGGTCTAATAATACCTTACTCCGCGTTGGTAGAATCTGTATGGACTTCGCAGTAGTTGTGACAGCTGCCACCAGAGTTCTAACCTCAACCTTTGCATAACAAGATTTTATCTAGTGTTCTTGCTCAGAATGAATTCTTTCAGGTTTTGTGAGTAGTATCTTGTGCATTTGTTTCAGTTACCAAACTTGTAATCAGCAGAGTAATGTGTTGGACCCAGGAGAACTTTGAGGGAGTCCATGCTGAAGACAGACCTTGAATTCTGTCTGATTCAGAAGCTGACTAAATTATTGACCACATTTCAAACTATGGCACTGGCATGAAACCTGAGTGCTGTAACTCTATAATGCTCTACTAAATCGGAATGGATCAGTTCAATTTCTAGTCTGTGCTGCAAGTATTGTGGGAAAGCAGAAGTGGAGCATGAGATCATTTGGCTAAGATGCTTCTATCGTCCAGTAGCCTGCTCACATTTACTATCCAACTTTGAAAACAAGTGTTAATTTCAAGTTAAATGTTTGAAGGTAATCATCAATCATTTATCCAAGACACTGTGGATGCCACTTTCAGAAGAAAAGTTTGGGGAAACTTGAAGCAAAGGTTTGAATGGGTGGAAGAAGATGCTTATCATGTAGGCTTGGTGGAAGTACTGTGAGTGACAAGGGTGCAGAATGTACGCTGAGTGGGGGATTTCAGTATCCATCACTAAGAGTGGCTTGGCAACACAACTACTGACTGAACTGGATAAGTCTTAAAGGACATAGCTGTTAGACTGGGTCTGCAGCAGGTTGTGAAGGAACTAATAAGAGGGGAAAATATACTTGACCTCATCCTCACCAATCTGCCAGTTGCAGATACATCTATCCACAACAGTATTGGTAAAAGTGAACACCGCAACTTCTTGCGGAGTCTAAGTTCCATCTTCATATTGAGTAAGCACTCTATCGTGGTGTGTAACACTACTTGTTGTGCTAAATGGAAAAGACTTTGCTCTGACTGAGCAACTCAAGTCTGGCATCCATGATGTAGTACAACACAATCTGCAGCCTGGCATATCCCACAGAAGGTCATGACCATCAAGCCAGGGGATCAGCACTACATCAGTGAAGAGTACAGGAGGGAATGCCAGGAGCAGCATCAGGTATACTTGAAAATGAATTGTCAACCTGGTTAAGCTACAAAACAGGGGCTGCTGTGTGCCAAACAGCATAATTGGCAAATGATAGACATGGTAAAGTGCTTCCACAACCAACAGATCTATGCTGTGCAGTCTTGCTGCATTCAATTGTGAAATGAGATGGGTAATCAAACAACTTGCTCAAAGAGGAAGCTGCACAAATGTCCCCATCCTCTATGCTCAGTTTGTGTTCTGCCAGAGTCATTCAGCTCCTGATGTCATTTTCCATGTTTGAACAAAAAGAGCTGAATTTCAGAGGCAAGAGTGACTACCTTTGACATCAAGGCTACATTTGACTAAGGAGCCCTAGCAAAACTGGAGCCAGTGGGGAAGGGAGGTGATGGGGTAAATGTCCACTGGTTGCAGTCATATCTATCTGAAAGGTAGATCGTTGTGGTTGTTGGAGGTCAGCCATCTCCGCTCGAGGAAATCTCTGCAGACATTGCTCAGAGTATATATTTTCTAATCAAGCTGTTCAGACATGTGCTTACACACTTCCGTAGTGGGTGGTACTTGAGCCTGGGTCTTTTGGTTTAAAGGTAAGGACACTATCACTGCACCACAAGAGCCCACTCATTCCTTAGTGCCCTGGGTTCAATCATCTTCACCTGCATTAGTGACCTTCTTTTCATCACAATATCAGAAATGGGATTTTTGCTGCTGATCGCACAATGGTCAGCACCATTTGTGACTCTTCAAATACTGAAGTAGTCCAAGTCCAAATGTAGCAAGACCTGGATCGTTACCAGACATGAGCTGTGAAATGTCTCAAGTGCCAGGCAATGTCGCATCTTGAAAAGTGATTTTAACCTATATTGACATTCGTTGGCATTGCTGTCACTGCCCCACTATCAGTATTCTGGGGTTTACCATTGACCAGAAACTGAACAGGACAGCTATATAACTATTGTGGCTGGAAGAGCATTTTAGAGGCTAGGAATCCTGAAGTGAGTAACTCGCCACCTGGACTATCACCGAAAGCCTGTCCACCATCTACAAGGCACAAGTCAAGGATGTAGTGGAATACTCCCCACTTGCCTGGTTAAGTACAACTCCAACAAAACTGAAATAACACAGTGTGGAGCTGGAAGAACACAGCAGGCCAGGCAGCATCAGAGGAGCAGGAAAGTTGACGTTTCGGGTCGGGAGCCCTCTGGTAATCCAGCATTGGCAGTTCTTACTATCTCCAACAAAGCTGAAGTGTGACACCACCCAAAACAAAATAACCTGCTTGATGGACACCACATGCACAAACACTCTCAATCTCACTACCGATGCTCAGTCACAACAGTGTGTACCATCTACAAGAGTCATTGCAGAAATTCACTCAGGCTCCCTGACCACCCTTTCCGAAGCCATGACTGCTACCATCTATGTTGACAAAGGCAGAAAATACATGGGAACATCACTACCTACAAATAACTTTTACAATGCACTCACCATCTTGATTTGGAGCTATACTACACTTCCTCCTTTGGTACGTCAAAGCCCTGGAACTTAGTGTGCTGACGTGAATTGCAGTATTGACATTAAATTTCAGAAGTCTCCACCATGTGCAGATCGAGGGCTGCCCATATCCCATGAATGCTTTTAAAATAAGATACCCGACTGACTTTTTGTCCTTTTGATCGTGTCTTTCCTTTAAATGAAGAATGTTATTTGACTTAACTAATGATAGCACTCCCAGGAAATTTTGTTTCAATTATTAATTTGGTCCAGAGTTTAACTTTTAATAGATTATAAAACATTGTGGAAGAATTAGAGTCCAACCAAGTTCTTGCTTTCACCTGTAAGGAAAGATACTTCAGCTTGAGAGGCCTGATATTTTTAGAGCACTTTTCAAGATATTGTTCAGCCAAAAAAAATGCCATTGTAAATAAATTTTAGTTTCTCTCTTCTTTCTTGCTTTCTTGCTTTCTCCCTCCTACCACCACTCCCCGTGCCAGTAAAGCTGGATGTATCTGGCAAGGCAATGCAATCTTCATAGATAGTCACTGGAAATTTTCTTATGATATAGTGCACAATTTAGAGTCCAGAGGAGGTTTTCTTTTTGACTGGAGTCTTGATTTCAGCATTTGATTGCAACATAGGAAAGATGTGATTTGGATTTGTTGTTTGTTTTAAAGGGGTGTTTGGGGTAATGATTAGCAATGGATCCTAATATTACTCACTAGTGATCTGTTTTAAAAATGTACTCGTGAAGATAGCAGTGGTGTTCAATTATTTATTTGCTTGAATAGATTGTTGAAATTTGGTATTGTATATTTATACTCTCACTACCAAAGGATTAAGCTTTATTAGAAAATTAGTGTTTGCAGCACAAAAAGAACCTCTAACAATAATAGTACAGAATACCATTTAAGTAGCTAGCCATCATTGCACAATTTCATTCTTTATGATAAAAAAATGCTAAATAATTGTTAATAGTTTATTTAAAATAAACTATAACTTCGAAGATTTGTTTTATTACAGGACCTGAGATAATGAGCAAACTTGCAGGAGAATCTGAGAGCAATCTGAGAAAAGCATTTGAAGAGGCTGAGAAAAATGCTCCTGCAATAATTTTTATTGATGAATTGGATGCCATTGCTCCAAAGAGAGAGAAGGTATGTTCTATATGTAATCAAGCCACAAATATAATCAGTCATCTCCATACTTTAATCTGAGTTTTTTCAAACTTGAGTAACAACTGCATCTCTTAAATATTTCATCTTTGGCCTCAGTTTGAATGTCATCTGAAAATTTGAAATAGTACATAGAACAGTACAACACAGTACAGGCCCTTCGGCCCACGATGTTGTGCCGACCTATTATCCTACTCTAAGATCAGACTAACCTGCATGCCCTTCATTTTTCTATCCTCCATGTGCCTATCCAAGAGTTGCTTAAATGTCACTAATGTATCTGACTCCATTACCACTGCTGGCAGCAACTTCCACACACCCACCACTCTCTGTGTGAAGAACCAACCTCTGACATCTCCCCTATACCTTCCTCTAGTCACCCTAAAATTATGCCCCCTCGTGATAGTCATTTCCACCCTGCGAAAAAGTCTCTCTCTGGCAATCCACTGTATCTATGCCTCTCATCATCTTGTACACCTCTATCAAGTCACCTCTCATCCTTCTTCGCTCCAATGAAAAAAGCCCTAGCTCCCTCAACCTTTCCTCATAAGACCTGCCCTCCAGTCCAGGCAGCATCCTGGTAAATCTCCTCTGCACCCTCTCTTAAAGCTTCCACATCCTTCCTATAATGAGAAGACCAGAACTGAACACAATATTCCAAGTAAAATATTACCTTCATTATCATAATTTGTTTTAAATTTTCTGTTGAAGGAGTTCTCAATGAAATGATTCGTGCTGTCAGTTCCCCATCCTAATTATATTCCTTTCTCTCATGTTCTGTGCATAATGTATTTTTTTTTAACTTATACTGTAAGGGGCCCTTGTGATGCAGTGGTAGTATCCATTCTGCTAGACCTAGAGGTCTGGGTTCAAGTCCCACCTGCTCCAGAGGTGTGTAATAACATCTCCTGTACAGGTTGATTAGAAAAAATAGGTATAATAATCCCCTAAATGCCTAGCACAGGAGTTTCCCTCTTTTTATCTTTTTCTCAGGGCGGAAATGACTATTACGAGGGGGCATAATTTTAAGGTGATTGGAGGAAGGTATAGGGGAGATGTCAGAGGTAGATTCTTTCCACGCGCCCACCACTGTGTAATGCGCTGCCGGCAGTGGTAGTGGAGTCAGATACGTTAGAGACATTTAAATGACTCTTGGATAGGCACATGGATGATAGTATAATGTAGGGTATGCAGGGTAGTTTAATCTTAGTAGGATAATAGGTTGGCACAACATCGTGGGGCGAAGGGCCTGTACTGTACTGTACTGTTCTATGTCCGAGTCCATTGATAGTTTGCTGCTTTCACTGCATGAAGTTTATTACTGTCTGCAATTTTGGATCATTTCCTGTATCTTCCAACCCAAGTTACAGATAAAAGCTAGTGATCTTTGAAGGCACAGTCCATCACTACCCATAGATTGGTATCTTATCATTCTAATATTGTTTCCTACCTTGCAGTATTGTTTTCAATCCGTGCTGTAAAGCCTTCTTTCAACTACATTACTTCAGTTTTAGCTAGGCTATTTATGCTGTAACCAAAAGTTTCATTTAATGAGTTTTTAAGTGACATTTCCCGAGTTTTTAAGTCACCTTTCCCCACTGTTTGCTGTATACAATTGCTTACAAACTGAAAATTGGATAATTTTCGTAAATTCTTTACCTTTGTAGACTCATGGCGAAGTGGAACGTCGTATCGTATCACAGTTGCTCACTTTGATGGATGGTTTGAAACAGCGGGCTCACGTGATTGTTATGGCAGCTACAAATCGACCAAACAGCATTGATCCTGCCCTTAGACGATTTGGTAGGTTGAAACTTTAATTTATTTGAATGAAGCGCATGCATGTGTACTCATGCATTGTAATAACTTAATCATTTGACCTACAGGCCGATTTGACAGAGAGGTGGATATTGGTATTCCTGATGCCACAGGTCGACTGGAAATCCTACAGATTCACACAAAGAACATGAAGTTGGCAGATGATGTAGACCTTGAGC